CACAAGAAGTGGTATACAATGGAATATATATCACGGTCTCGAATTGCCTCAAAAATGTATAGAATAATTATTGAAAACAATACGTTTCTGAGTACTTCACTTCCTACAACAACATACGCTTTGATTTAAACAAGAATACACAAAAGTCTAAACGCATGTCTCGCTAAAATTTACGAATGCATGTGTTTGCTCTAACATTCCAAATTTCAATTACTATTTATGTATTAGGAATATCCGTCAATGCCGGGGACATGCATAGGGCACGTAGTTACCTTTTACACCATTAAAAATAGATATTAATAGAGAAGGAAACTTCCTAAAACAAAGAAAAATAGAAGAAAAACAAAAAAAAACAAAGAAAATTAGAATAAAATGTAAAAAGAGAAAAAAAAAAGACAAAGAAGGTAGGCAAGAGAAAACGTATAGCCGCGACCTCGTAACAAAGGGACGTCCCGACCACTGCGGAGACGGCGAGACGCTGACTGAATTTTCTTTCTTTTGTTTTTCCTAACAAAGGAACGTTGTTTCGTGCTCACAAGGGTCAACCATATCCAATCTCGATTATCATTTTTATAAAATCCCCTCTTGTACTTTGTCTTTATTCGTGATATAATCTAAATTATGTCCATTGTCTCTACTTACCTCGGTCCCGAACTATATCGACGTTTGTGAAAATGACGTCCCAAATTTGAAGAGTTGTTCTTCTCGTAACTAACTATTTTCTTAGACATTTTGATCAATGCCAAAAGTATTGAAAGTTATCACTCTTGTATTGCACCTAGCTAAAAACTTTGATACATGTTTGATAAAATGTTTCTTTAAAACTAATTTCGATTACATGGATTGTTCTTTGGAAATTATTTTAAAGATATTTAGTAGATATAAGTAGAGAGTTGTTATTGTCCTTTTTTTAAACTCACTCCTTGCGTAGTCTTTTTCTCCTCCTATGAAGAAAAATCCAAATAAATTTAGGAATTTTTTGCATAATTTTCGAGTCTTCTTCATGACCACCGTTCTATCTATCTAACTATCGTCATCATATGCCTCTTTGCCACAAAATCTGTTGCCTTTGTAAAATTTAGGAAGCCACTAAAGTCATCATTTGTCCTGTCGATATCGTTTTGTCATACACGAATAAGTTGGTTTGATTCGAACTTTGAAATGAGGCCACAATCTTTTTTAAAGGGTCGCGAAGATTGCTAATTTCGCACAAGAGTGCCCATTTCTAACATCTACATCTTCTTGAGACCACCTCTTTTTATGATAAATGCACACGAACCATGACGTGAATCCACATTATGCATGCAATTATTATTTTTGTTTTCTCCTCAACCTCTAACATTTATGATAGAATAAATTTGATTACAAGGATATTTTACCAGCCCCATACTAGCTAATGGTTTGTTGCTTAACCGAGGACGGCCAAATTGATAGTTTTGGCTAGAAAATAGCGTGTTTGAGCTAATGGTTTGTTGCTTAACCTTGGACGGTCAAATTGATAGTTTTGGCTAGAAAATAGCGTTTTCCATTTTTTTTTCAGATGCATTTTTTGAATTTACTATTATGCATTTGCTCAATGGCACTATGATGATTGGTATGTTTCTTCTAAATGTTTAACTAGTTGAAGAAACAAGAAACATATGAGATGCTAGCTACTGATCTTAAGGTTTTTTTTTGGTCTTACCCCTTTTTCAGGAACACTGTGATAAAAATAATATTCATTTTGTGGATCTACCTGTACAATTGGTCCGGTTAAGCTCAATGATTTGAGTCTTAGTTTTGTCGTTTTATGAAATCATTACCTACATATCTTTCAGTGCTTTATTACATATGCATCATATGATTAAGTTCATCAAAGACGTCCCTTATGGCTATTAAGAGTCAGACGCAAAGGTGACCAAGGTCATTAAGGCGTCGTCTTCTATATAGTATTCAAAGTTTCAAACCATCCACTAATTGCTAATTAATCAGATTAACTATGATAATGATCAGATTAGTTTCTTAATTAATTATGATAATGTTTTACTATTGTATTGATTAAGTAGCTCTCAGCCAACAGACAAAAGATGAAAATTTGGATTATTCAAAGATTTGTGGGCTTCCAAAAGCATTGGGAATGGTGGCTCCGACTACATTGGGAAATATATTAATTAAATCTCTATTGCCATAGTCGTTGGAGTTATTTTATTTTTCGAAGTTGGAGAATCAAATTATAATTATCAGCCGAATTTATAAATCCTAGTAGTTGGAAAACAAATCCTAGAAAAAATAGTTTATAAATTGTACGGAAATCTACTATGGCCTTAATATAATAGATATAGGTTTTGACTTTAAATTAAAACAACTATTGTGGTGGGCATATTCAAATATTGTGTGTGATCGTTCGTAAGATAAAATATTTCCCCACTATTTTTCTATAACAATATTGTGTGTGATCATTCGTAAAATAAAATATTTCCACACTATTTTTCTATAACAGTGAAATAAGCGGCACTGTTCATGCATGCTCTTATTATCAATCATACATTGAAATATGCTTTGCCAGTTGCCACCACTAAAATATACTACTAGTAAATTATTTACTAATTATTTCTTTGTTGAAAACCATGTAAATAAATTTGGCATGACCCTCTTAATAATTAATTAGGCTTAACCTTATTAAATCCCTACGTCGTAATAATATTGTCCAAGTTATAAATTTTATGTTAGTGTTGAGACATAACATCGAAAAAGTCTTGACCTAAGAGTTGGTTCCGATCACAAAATATTGAAGTTTCTGCCAACTTTCTTTTGTTGTCTTTTTCTTCACTGTTTTAATTGAAAACATTTAACTTTAAAATATTTTTTACACGATTATTACCCAGCCATTGTTTGATATGAATTTGAAAATATCTCCTAAAAAAGAATAGAGTGGGAAGTGGAATGTAATATAGACCACATAGACATAAATATGTCCCGTGCTTAACACGTCCGAGTCATTATCGTACCCTTTTGGCAACTTTTTCAAGTTTCCTTCGTGAAAATGACAACACGTTTTAACTTGACATGTGATTGTTGCACGCATATAATATTCACAAAACATACACTTCACCTGTTCACCAAATTATGTATAAATGGATATAAACAGGAAAATAAAATTTGGTATACAAATGATATAATTGTGGTGGATATCTCAA